AGAGAATTTTTTTATTAGGAAAAGCTTTTCTTCTAAAGATTCTTGAAAATTGCACGCCGAGCAGAACAAGCAGCTGCTGTGTTCCTAGAAATGTCTCAAAAGTTCATTTGTCACCGCACTAAGTCGCTTCTTAAAGGTAGATTATTCACGAGGATTGGGCAATAGGAATCGCCAAAACATCAGGGTTTCTAGAAGCTTAGCTTAATGCTGCTTGGAATTGTGCAACGATGGAAAAGTTTGGATAAAGATGATGCGGATTATGCTTTGGTTAACTTAGAGCTCCACTTAAGAAGCATAGCTTTTCATGCTGCAGCATTTACAGGAGCAATTTCATGAGATCTTCTACCGGAAGAGGGGATCAAATGGAGTACTTACGGGCCATAAATGAGATTTTTTCTATTTGACTCGATTCTTCAGCAAATCTATGAGAAAACGCGGAAGAATTAATGGGGGTTTCTGCTTAGTTTCTCCGAGCCTAGAAATAGAACAAGAGCGAAGTGAACATTCAACTGCAAACAATCGGTCTAATCTGTTTTTTGTTGGATTAAAAGGCGAGAGAATTTTTTTCCCTACATCCATTTTTAGGTTTAATTTTTGAAACTTCATGCTCCGCTTTTTCCTTTTGTGAAGCGCTAACCTAATTTTTCTACAAATGCAAGCTGAAAATGCTTGAAAATTAAATAAGCACAGAGAAGCGGACAAGTTTTTCACCATGGATAACCTATGATGAATAAGAATCCTTGCCATATAGTGACGGGAATAGTGCAAGGATTTCTTCCGCTTCTTTCCTAAGGTAGGCTTTCGCATTTGCAACATACGCTAGATTAGTTGAAATGACAGGGGATCAGGACAGGCTTTTGTCTAGAAAAAGTGCTTAGAAAAATGAATGACGAGAAATGTTGATTCCAGCTTAATTCATTTTCTTCTGAATAAAATGTGAAATTCATTTCTAGGTTAAAGAACGATCATTTCAGGATAAAGATGGGAATTTCAATGTATTCTATGTGTTAGCCAGTGATCTTGGCACAAATCTCTTCGTCCTATCCTCAACTATACGCATTTTCGTCTACTATAAATATAATCCACAGATCCGTCAACAAATTCAGGGTGTAACAGCTTTAAACTGCCTACTTCGTACAAAGAAAAAAGATTCTGTCAAAAATGAACCACTGATAGCCGTCTCGTTATGATCCTATTCATTTATCTTCACCGCACTGGTACGTAATTTAGAGGGTTGCCCAACTTCCATTTATCATTCGCCCGCTGCTTAATCTGCATTTCGCTTCCGTATTTTGTGCGAAAAGAGTATGATTTGTTTTATTGGGAATTCTATCAAAAAAATGAAATTGTCCTTGTCATTGTCATAAAATCTCAGATTTCTAACGGATATTACCTTATGTTTTGTGTGTTAGTGATACTTTTTGATACATGTTTATTCAAGTCAATTTAGTTTATTTTCTTAGAGTCGGAAAATAAATGTTAAAATGACATTGTTGCAGTTTGAGAAATAGCACAATACATCCACGAAATGGAAACCCCAAGAAGTTTGCCTGAACAGAGTTAAACAGCTCAATTTCATCTACATTATTAATCACATTTAAACTACAAAAAATCAAAATAATCACAAATTAAAAGGAAATTCTTTCAACATTTCCTGCACTGCTGATGATGTAGTTGCGGCAGCTCAAACACTTTCGTTCACATTGAAATGTCTCACAATCATCCATTCGTTGTTCACAAACT